ATGGGGACATCTCAGGACAGGCAGAAATGTAAGGCTGGTGGTCATTTAGGGGTGAGAAGTCAGCTGCGTTCCATGAGGATTAAAGAACACTTACTATAAATTTTACTTATTTTGAAACTTTTCCTTGGGCTGTTGTCCCTGGCAAAAGGCGTGTGGAGTTTGGATTTCATTTTTGCAGTGAAGCGAATTATCCTTTATTGAGCACATACCTCACTCCAGGTGCTGTACCACGTATTCAGTTCTCTGAATGGACTTGTAAGGCAGATGCTTCAACTATCTTTCTCTTTCTGATATTACGTTAATATTTATAGATGGTAGAAATTCTGTTCAGAATGGCCATGTGTCTTATTCTATTTTTTGCTGCTAGAACAGAACACCCAAGGCTGGGTAATTTACAAACAACAGAAATTTATTTTTTCATAGTTTGGGAGGCTGGGAAGTCTGAGATGAGGGCACCGGCATCCCACTAGGGCCTTCTTGCTGCATCACTCTCATGACAGAAGACAGAAGGACAAGCTAGCTGGACCCTGCCTGAAACCTGTGTTCCAAGGCCCCACTCATCAACTCTTAAAGGCCCCACCTCTCAATAGAATCACACTGGAAACAACCGACTTAGAGGGGGTCACATTCAAACCGTAGAATTAAGTAACTTAACCGAGGTTGTAGCTCATATACAGCTAGGAAATTAGTAGAGCCAAATACTGCAGCTTGGGCCCTGAAGCTTGTATGAAACTGTCCAAAGGAAGATGTTCATATCCTAAGCATTTGGTGCTTCATTGGCCACAAGAAGAGAGGGGGCGCTGGAACACTAAATAGGTGATACTGATCATAGTGTTGGTGGTTATAATACGCAACAGCTATTATACTTACTGTGTGCCAGGCATGGGGCCATCTACTCTTGTAGATGTGTTTTTTTTTCCTCCCTATCACCAAAGTTTATTGTAGAATGCAACACACAGAAAGAATCATCAACACTGCCCTACCCGCCTTGAGTACAATTGGCATTTCAACATATTCCTTTCCAGTTTTTCTTTTCTTTTTAAACCTGTGTAAAAATCTTCATGGATGAGCTATGCACTAAAGGAAAACGTGTGAAACTTAATTAAGAAATGCTTGGGGTAAGAAGAGAGATACCACTAGATCACTTTTCAGACTGAGAATGAGTGACAAATATTAGGATATAATCTGGGAGAGAGAGGTGGAGATAGTAGACTATGAGACACAGATAAATAGTAAACTATGAGACTAACAGGCACAAATAAATTCCCTGTTTTTCATGGATTTGCCAAAGGAAAACCAACCACAAGAGGGGTGAAGCCAAGAGGTGCGTGGAAGCAGGAGATATTGGGGGTGAGGTGTTAAAATCAAAGACCCTGAGGCCTGCTCTCTGTCTTTTCCATCCCCATCTTCCAACCAGTTCCAAAGATACTAATGTAGGTTTGGCACCCATAGCACAGTGGTTATGGCGCCAGTCACATACAACAAGTCTGGAGGGTTTGAATCTGGACCAGATCAGCTAAACAACAAAGACAACTGCAACTACACAAAAAATAACCGGGTGTTGTGGTGGGCACCTGTGGTCTCAGCTACTTGGGAGGCTGAGGCAAGATGATCGCTTAAGCCCAAGAGCTTGAGGTTGCTATGAGCTGTGATGTCATGGCACTCTACTGAGGGTAACATAGTGAGACTCTGTCTCAAAAAAGAAAAAAAAAGATACTAATTTAGTCAGAAAATTATAAAAACAATTAAGCAGCAGAAATTGTTTTTCTCCAAGAAAATCCCAGGAGGAAGCTATTTATGTAAGCAGAGTAAAGCAGAGCTGGTCTGTTCTGAAGAGGGTGGGGGATGCAGGACCCGCCTTCCCTCGAGCTCATCAGGGCAGTATCTGGGAACCCACACTTTCTCCTGCTGTCTCCCCTGGGTCTGAGCAGCAGTGTTTCCCTCTCAGGTCCCTGGGAACTCCTCTCAGTCCTGATCCCAGCGACCCTCATTCCATCCTTGGCTCTTCTCCACCTTTGCTTGGTGAATCTCCTCTCGTCAGGTTTTGAGAAAGGTATTGACTTTTGCGTGACTTTCCAAGGCATTCTCAGAGAAAGATTGACACGTGTAGGGTCGAAGGGAAGGAGGTCGAGCTATTCTAAATGTTAGTAAACATGACAGCTTGCTGGGGATTAAAGGAAATCTTGAATAAGATCATTGAGATTTGATAAGGGATTTTTCTCTCAGACAATTAAAGATTTTTTTTTTCATTATCCTCCCCCCACCAAAAGAGTAATGGATGAAGGTCAGTAGGAGATAGCACATTATCAATCTAATGCTCTTAGAACAGATCAACAACGAAGGCCCATGAGCTTGGGCTGCCCACAGGCGTCTGTGTGCTGTGCTTGGCGTCCTTGCTTTAGCAGGTGATACTGTCCTTTAATATCACCTACTTAATCCTCAATTTTCTTTTAAACATCAGATATTGGATGGGCTGGAGCCTTGTTTAGGCAGTAAAGAACTCTAGTGCTTTGCAGCCAAGATCTGCCAAGGAGAGAAATATTTTTGATACAAAAGAATAATTCATTAAAGGAGGTAATGAAGGCAATTTAAACCCTCCACAAACACATTGCTGGGTGAATAAAGCTCATTGCTCTCAGTTCAGGGTCATACTGAATGAAATGTTGTAAAAAAAAATAAAATAAAATAAATAAAACCAATTGCACAAATGGGCCAAAAATCTCCGTGGAGCTTAGTCAAGCCTGACAATTTCGAATTTGATAAATAAGCAAGGGGAGAAAAAAGAGTTTCATTAATATTATGAGAAACCCCCTCTGGAATAAGGCATTGAATTTCTATGTTACTTTTTTTTGCACTCAAAGGCACTTACATGGGCTTAGGGAAAAATCTGACTTTGAGTTGAAATTCTGATTATCTGATTACAGCTCAGGGGTTCTCCCTCACACTCACTCCCCCAGAAGCTCGTATTGTCCCCTAAACGGGTGCGAATGCCTGGGATAATGGAAAAACGCGGTAGAGAGAGAGCAGAGCTGCAAGAGCGGGGCATCTGTGGACCAGAATGAGCTGGTTAGAGCCCTGCAAAGCCCTAGTCTGCAGGAGCTCAGGTGACTAGGGGGCATTACCAGGTAGGTCTGACCTGTACACAGTTGTCCACAGCTCTGCAGCCCAAGGAGTTTAATCGGAGGAGTAGCAAATATTAACTGTTGAGAGGGGTATCTTAGACCCCATGTTTCTTCATAGAGAATTAAAGCCAGAACTTGAAAAAATTAGAAATGTAGGATAGATTCTCCTGGAAAGCCTCAACCAGGACTATTGGACAACACAGAGCAGCCTTGCTGAGGGGAAGGGAACCCTGCGAGGACTGTGACCACTCCTGTCAGGTGCCAGAAAGCCCGCCCCTAGTCCTTGCTGGTGGGTGTCCAGAGCTGCCTGGACATTTTCATTTCCCCTTTGCTCACTACTATATAGAGTCCCCCTCATGTTGAGAGCTTCGGCACTGAGAAGTTCCTTTCCCAAACCCTTGCCTTGGGATTTCTTTCCCACTTGGTCTGTGGTCTCTCTCCTAAGATTGGACATCAGACAAGACTGTCACTGTCCAGGAGAACCCTGACTGGTCTGGTTCCAGCGTGTGAATCAGAGGAGGCAGCTCAGCTCACATGAAATAACAGATGCATTTTACCAGTTGCAGACCCTCAAGAATGAGAGGGGTGCCCCCCAAAGCCCGTGGGGGTCTGGCAGTGGCAGGGAGCTTAACCAAGGGATGAGGGCAGAGAGGACTGTGAGATGAGGCCTTTATTAAGATCCTTTATCCTTTAGCCTTTCCTGCCAGGGTTGTGGATTGAGTAGTTTAAAGAAAACATGCATGAATAGGGGATCTTATTCCAATGTTGGCCATTAGGCTCTGTCATGCCTGGCAGGTGTGCGATGTGTCACCTTTTGGGTCAGGGCGATGAGGAACAAGCCAGTCACAGGTCAAACAACCACAAAGGGAGGGTAAGTTTTCAGTCCGTCAAAGGTGATGGGACATCCTTCAAGCAGGTTAAGTCAGACCTAAAAATGGATGTTGAGACATCAACTCTTAAACAAAGACACCTCGATTAACCATAAAGCAGCTTCCATTGTCTTTAGGACGAACGCCCAATGCACCCCTTACCCACGACAGCTTATCAGGTACCGTGTCTCACTCTGAGTCTTCTCCTTCCCGACCTAAGCTTATTGTTTGCACAATCTAAGTGCCAGTATCCTAGTCCACTGAGATTCAGGAAGGAAGGATGGAAATCCGATGGAAATCTCGCTCTGTCCCGTTCTTCCCCCACATTATTATTATTTTTTTCTGAGCATAAGTTATGCACTTTCCCATACTCCAATTGTTAATTTTCTAAAAACAAGAATTATTTCTTATGCAACTACAGTTTATGAAAATCCAAAAATGAACGTTAATACAGAACCATCAGCTCATCTACAGACCTTATGCAAATTTGACTGATTGTACCACTAATGACTTCTATAGCAAAAGAAAAACATTGGCCTTTGGCCTGAGATCTAAATTATAATTAAAATTACATATTGTACTGCCCCATCCTGTCTCTTCAGTCTCCTTGAGCTTCGGTTCTTCAGGGTTTTTTTTGTTTGTTTTTTCCCTTTCATGACCTTGACATTTTTGAAAACTATAGGTCTGATAGTTCACAGCATGTTCTTCATGTTGGATTTGCTGATGTTTCTCATGATCAAGTTTAGGTTATGCATTTTGGGTGGGAATACCATAGAAGTGATGCTGTGTCTTTCTCAGTTCATCATGTCAGGGAGCCGCATGTTGACGGTCCCCTTACTGGTAATGTTGACTTGGTTAAGGTGACCAACACCAGTATTCTACACTGAGAAGTTGTTACCATTCTTTTTACAATTAAGAAGTATCTTGCAAGAGATACTTTGGGACGTTCTGGAGCAGGTGTGGCCCTAGGGAGCCCGTGATTGACGTTGCCTTTTCCCTTTGTTTTCAGAGTCTAACAGCCGCAGGGCGGTGAACAGAGGCTATGTCGCCAGCTTGCTCAGGCTGCATCAGGACTGGCACAGCCATGACACAGCCAACACGTACATGCTGATCCGCCGGGGCTTCCTGCTCTGCCTCAAGCACATCGTCACCCTTCGGTCTGGCAGGGAGGCCTTCCTGGCAGCCCACGGCATGGAGGTCCTCTTCAGCACAGCACAGGTAGTCAGCAATGAGTCCCTCTATTGGATACCATTACAGATGATTCCAGAATCATCCCAAACAGCTTGGGAAAACCTCAATACATTTCTTGCTGTTCATGATGGGCAGATGTTCTGGATTCAATTTCTCATTCACTCATGTATGCATTGATTCATTCATTTGTGCAATATATATTTATTGAGTCCATACTATCAAGGAAACGGCATGATGTAGTAGGTAAGAGTGTTGATTTGGTTTGGTGTGGTGGCTCACAGTTTGGGAGGCTGAGGCAGGAGGATCACTTGAGCCCAGGAGTTTGAGGTTATAGTGAACTATGATGATGCCCCTGCATTCCAGACTGGATGACAGAGTGAGACCCTGTCTTTAAATTAAAAAAAACAAAAGAAGTGTTGACGCCTGTGAGAGTACTTGGGTTCAAATCTCAGCTTGAGCATAGACAGCTGTGAAACTTTGGAGAACTCACCCAACTTCTCTGGGCCTCAAATTTCTCTCCCTCCCCCCAAAAGTGAGAACTACAGTATTCAAGATGTTGGGTGGACAAAATAAGTTAATGTAGAAATATCACGTGCTTAGAAGAGTGCTTGCCATCACTTCTTTTTGAGTGTAAGCAGTTATTGGAATAATTAGCCCTGGGGACCTAGTCGTGAATATGAAAGACAAGATATATTGATCTTGTGGGCAAATATACTAGCAGGAGAGTCAGACACTGAGTAAGCAAAAAATCTAGTGGGGAAAACAATTCCATCCTGCTCTGTGAAATCAGTGAAGTCGGGGCCTAGGTCTATAGTGGCTCCCATAGGTGGAGGGAGAAGGGATTTTCTTAGAGAGGTTGAATCCTTTCTAGTCAAGAAAGATACCTGAGCTGAGACCCGAATTATTGGAGACACTGGCCTTGCAAAGTTTAAGGGCAAGAATATCTTGGGCAAAGTGGATAACACCTCCAAGGATTGCTACTTACCTGCACCCAGGTGGGATATGTGGTCTAGGGTTTCCTGGATTACAATCCAAATAACACACTCCTTCATTTCACTTGCTTGAGGCTAATTTAAACCCCAGTTTGAGGATACATGTGCCCTCTCTACTGGTGATACGAGTATTCCCAATATCCATCACCTGCTCACCCACGTTCTGCTGGGGCCGAGGCAGCTGTGATTCATGCGCACTGTATTCTGTTATCCTTCTGTTCGTTAGTCCCGCACTCCCTTCATCAGTCTCATTGCTGCTTCTGGATACCCTGCAAGTTTTCTCTACCTAAATACATCCGAGGTAATGAAGCCGCCAATGAAAGTGTTGTTTTCTAACCATAGTATCCACAGATACAGACTTTTCTCATTAGGAAATGGCATTTTTTCTCCTAAACAATACCAAAATACTGTGCTGAAAACCAGTATCTAATTTTCTGTCTGCTATCACCTCTGGGTTTCTATCATTATAGCTTTCAAAGCTTCTCAGTCATGAAATAGCTGTATTTTACATTCTGTTTCTTGGGATGAAGCAGTGCTTTGAATTTTTCCAGACTTCCCCATGCTTTGTCAACTTGCAGCCCCCCAAGTCTCTCACAGTCCTTGGGAAATTCTCTCTTGCATTGCTGATGCCTAACAGACCTCCATTTCCACCCGGGTGCTTCTCCCAGTTCCTCTGCCCCCTGCATTACTGGCCATTTCTCTGTTCTGTGCTAAAAACCAATTGAAAGAACAATCAATGATGAAGATGAAGATCACAGGGGTACATGACTGCAACAGGAAGCTGGTGGAGAAGATACCAAGTGAAGTCCAGGGGTGTGAGCAGGTGCAAGCCTGTGTGCACGATCTGAGAGGAAGCTTCCCCGGCGGTCAGTGGAGACCTCTACTGCCCAATAAAGCAGCTTACCTCAAAGCTCTGAGCCTCCAATTACTGCTGGGAATGGGAGCAGAATGTGAATCGAGTCAGAAACTGCACTTTGTAGCAACGTTTCTCCTGCTCCCTTCTAACCTCTATTGGGATTATATGAAAAAGAAGCTCAGGAGAGGAGGGGGGTCTGTGGGACGATTCTGAGTAAATAGGCTATGAGACATGAAGGCTATTCCCAAGAGGGTGCAGCGTGCATGGAGGACGACTTCATGGGGTTGGATTCCTCACTCCAACCCCCACCCCACTTTTTGCTTTCTGTCTGTGAAATGGTGTGCTCTCCTATAGATGGTGTTAAGTTTTCATGCAAAGTCTGACAATTGACATTCTCATGTTTTTGGAAAATGATCCATTTGGGTGAAAGATACGCTGCCCTGGCTTAGAAATCAAATGGCCCATTACCCTTCCCTGGCAGAATCATAGCCAGTGTTGAGTAGCCTCCCAGGCCTGGGCTGGACCCTGTGGCACAGATGCCCCAGCAGCTGTGCTGTGGTTTCTGCTGCCTGTCACCCCTGCCCTCCCTCCTGCTAGAGAAGGTGTGGGAGTCCCTGGATGGATGCCCCAGGAACCTTGGAGTGTTATTTCAGTCATTACTTTGCAAATTGTGCTGCAGAAGAGGAGGAGGGAGAGGAAGAGGATGAGGAGGAGGAGGAGGAAGGAGCAGGAAGGGAAGAGGAATAAGGCTCATTAGAAGCAGAGCTGGAACTTCAGACTCTCAGTTGGGATCCTTTTCCATGAAAATGTTTCCCTTTGTTATCATGAGGGTGGTTCCTGGGGCTCCTTCCTGAGTAGCAGTGACTCCTGGGATCTGCTTGCAGATTCCTACGAGATCTATGAACTTAATGATGTCTCTGACATCCCACTAGCTGCCACTGAGTGCTTACTATTACCTACTTTGCTTACTTTAACGCATTTAGTTCACACACACTCTTACCAGAGGGGTTCTGTCAGTATCTTCACTTAGAAGATGAGGAAGCTGGGCCCCAGCTCGCCAGGGTTATGCAGGGAGGAATCGTCAGCCAGGATTTGAATTCAGGTAGTCGGCCCCAGGCCCTGAGCAGTTCCTATTACTCTACCTTGCCTGTGTATAATGGCAGTGCGGTATGTATTATTCCAAAGCCAATTCAAAGATGTTACCTGGGACAAAGCATCAAATGTTTAAGTTACCTTCTACGTCATCATCCCTACCAAGTAGCAGGTGTACTGCTGGGAATGCTGGGAAAAGGGAACTCACCGTTGTCCCCAATTCTGAGACATTTGTCCGGAAGGATCCTATTTCTTGGAGTCATGCCATTTTATGATCCACAGCACAAATGCCAATCCTGTACTTGTAGGAGACTGAGAGCAGGGGTCTCCTTAATCTTGCCTCCTGGGCACCTCATTTACCTCACTTTAGTCCCAGCCTTGCTGGGATCTATTAGCATGAGGGAAATGTTGACAAATGGATCTAAGACTTTTCATTACCTTAGAACCAGAGATCATCTTTCAATTAATAAAATTTCCCTCCAGCGTGTAGCAGACACCGTACGTAGCATTACCCTGCATCCTGGTTTTAACAGCCCCTCCTCCCTCCAAATTCAGCTCATGGTGTGTGGCTCAACCTTTCTGGACACAAAGACTGAGCTCCATCCTTCTACTCACACAGTTTTCACCTGTATCATCCCACCAAAGTGAAAAGTGTGATCATCTCTTTTATCATCAAAGACAATCACAGACATACTTGGCCTCCAAAATGGTGGTGTTTCGGACCAAATTCCCTAGCCTGGACTTATCTCTTCTGAGCACCCCCAGATTGGTGCTCAAAACATTACCTTTAATCAGCTATCTACCTCACTGTTTCTCTACTTCCATGCTCTGTTTTCTCTGCTCCTCCCATCAGTACTAATGTGTTTCACTAAATGCCTGAAGCCATTTGACCAGGCCAGGGAATGCAATAGCTTCACCAGGGGTGGGGAACCTGTGGCCTTGTGGCCACATGCGGCCTTCTGGATCCTTGAGTGTGGTCTTTTGACTGAATCCAAATTTAACAGAACAAAATTTTTTTTTTTTGCAGTTTTTGGCTGGGGCTTGGTTTGAACCTGCCACCTCTGGCATATGGGGCTGGCACCCTACTCCTTTGAGCCACAGGCACTGCCCAGAACAAATGTTTTTAATAAGGAGGCTCTTCATTGAGGGACACCTTCTTGGTATCATTTGAATGCACAGAACAGGAGAGTATTACAGCATTTTCTGTTTTGAAAGTAGGCTTACTTACACTGTGAAGTCATTTGGGTAGCTTGAATTCATGGCTAAATTTTTATTAGTTTTTTTTTCACTCCATGTTGTTTTATGTGGAGCTACCCATAGTGTGGGCCTGGAGATTCTACACTGGGGCAGCATTACAGATCTTGAAACCACCACCCTGTGGTGGGTACTGAGCATCTTCCATGTTAACCTCTATGCCTTGGTGGCCTCAGAGCTCACTGCTCTGAAGGAATTTCAAACTGGAGGCTTGCACTAGTCAACTTTTTGTACCAAGTCAGTCGACAAAACATTTACTAAGAACTGAAGAAAATGGTTGTGTTTTTGCCAAAGAGATACTGAACTATACCGAACTCTCTCTCTTTCTCAATTTAGTGAACTTGTTCTTACATTTTTCACAGTGTCTGAAAAACAAGGTATTGTCATGTTCCATCAGCATCAAAATGTTACATTTGCAAACCCAGTTTTTCTTTGCTTGGGGAAGGTACCAAGAGAGATCAACACTCTGGGCTTTGAGAAGAGTCATGTTATTTAATTTAAGAACTTGGGATTCACTTAGTCTTTTCTTCTGATTTCATATTTTATCTTTTTCTTTTATGTTTTTCTCTTCAGAAGACAGCTGAAAGAGGAAAGCAGGACTCCCATCAATTCAGAGACTCATTCCCTAACTTAGGCAGTCATTCACAGTGGCACCCAGATGCCAAAGAGGATGCTTACTTCCTCTCCCCTCAGCTGTCCTGGACAATGGGCAGCATCCCTTACAAGAATTTTAAGTCTGTATTTGGACTAAATTTCTTTCAATAACATAGGAACTATGCAAATGAAATAAAAATGCAGGTCCTACATTAGATAATATTCCACATTAGAATGTTCAGATTCGACATGGTACATTAAGGCTGCTTACTGTCTGTTCACATGGGTTGAGTATAATTCATCACTTGAAATACTGCACCTGGTTGTCAGTGTCTGGTACAATCTTCCCTTTACTCAGAGCTGCCTGGAGGACAAGAGCATGGAGCCCATCATCTCCAAAGCGCTTCAGATCCTGAGGCGATGCTACCCTAAAAGTCCACTTCCTTTGGTCACGGGCAGCAGTGCTTATGCCTTCCTGGTCCCTGGGATCATCACCTCTGAACCTCCATGTGCTCTAACTGAAGGTGAGATGAGCGGGTGACTATGACCTTCAAGATGAGTGTCGGATTTTGACACTATCTGCAAGGAATGTGAATGAAAATAGAATTAGTTGTTTTACAGATCAACCATGATTGTCTAAAAAGCTGATTACAGATATATATGAAAAAGCAGCATTTTCAGAAACAGGGTGAACAAACACCAAGTTCTCTTATTTTGTTCTTAATTATAAGCTGTTGCCATTTGACTGGTAGCTATCAAATACCTGTAAAGTTATCTCAGCCAATTAAAAAAAAAGTTCTATTCACAATCTCACACGCTAGTCTCTCCACTGAACTTAATGGTTGTGAAATTAATTTGCCTTGAGGATGAAGCTGAAATAAAACTCTTGCTCTTTACAACCCCGGCTAGTCGTATTTGAAAAGTATGATTATTTAATCTCTAGGAAGATCTTGCTGTCACATAATTCTAGTGGTTTTCACCCCTGTCTTCCTACCATGGAACAGATTTCCTGTAAGTATGATTTTGCCACAATGGCACAGGATGCTTTCTGTGGACTTTTATTCCAATCTAAACATTGGGGACTCAAGTAAGGTGATATCTAAGTTATAGCAAGTTTTTTTTTTTTTGTTGTAACCTTTAGCCATGTCAGTTGCATAAACAGCTCTAACTTGAGTGAGAGAATACAGACTGGCATGTGTGTGTTATTTTATTCTGTATTTCCTTTGCGTTTGGTGAGGGACAGCTGGTGGGATGTCATGACCCGGTGCTTCTATGCGTCCACACCCCGTTCACAGGCACCAGGGGGCATTAGCATATGAGGGGATAGTAGATCTGTAATAACACATCCCTTGTTGGTGAGGGGAAGAAGAGCCGATCTGTGCAGTGGGAGTCTAAATCCCTGGCAAAGGGCAAGTCTCACTTTTTTTTGCCTCTTTCTCTGCATCCAGGGGATTTTGAAGATGAAAGTGATGAAGAGGTGGACAGAGGTTCAAATTCTGAAGATGTGAAAGAAGAAGTAGGTATATGAACCCGAGCTTATACTAATCTCCATGGTCACATCATGCAAAGAAAAAATGTCACTCCCTATGTTTGCTTAAGCCCAGTGTAAATTTTAAGGACTTACTTTTGTACTGCCACTCCAGTGACGATGACGTTCAGTAAATGACAGCTACTGTGATTGATTTACAAGTTGTCGTTTTCCTCTTGGTAGGCCTAGTACAGTGTCTCATTGTGAAGTCAGAGGCTGTCCATTATGAAGGCACTAATCCTCCACCACGATGAAGGCTTAGGGTTGGTATATTTAATAAGTGCATGTGAAACTGTAGAACTTTCTGCCTTCCCTTCCCCTCCCTTCCCCTCTTTCTTTCTTCCTTCCTTTTTATTTTTTAAAATTTCTGATTAACATGAGGGTATCTACAATTAGGTTATGTTATTTGTATTTGTAGGTAAAGTCCAAAGACTGACTTGTAGTTGAATCCTTCACTCAGGAAGGGTGCCGTATACCCCTATATTGTACCCCTCAGGTGGGACTTACTAAACCTCCTCCACACTCTCTCACTCTCTGCTTCTTGGATTTAATTTTGTTTTTCTCTCATGTGGGTCTGTAGTTGTTGATCTACTGGTTTCTGCTTAGTACTACATACATGGGATGCTTGCTTTTCCATTCTTGAGATACTTTACTTAGGAGAATGTTCTCTAAATACATTCAGGTAAAAACAAATAATGAGAAGTCTCTATCTTTTTATGGCCTGAATACTATTCCATGGTGTACATATACCCCAGTATACCTGTAACCCAGGGTATACAATCCACTCATGGGTTGGTGGGCACTTGGGTTGTCTCCACATCTTTGCAATTGGAAATTGAGCTGCTGTAAATGTTTGAGTGCAAATACCCTTATGGTAAAATGACTTGTTATTTTCTTCTAGGAAGATACTTAGTAATGGGATTGTGGGATCAAGTGGGAGGTATGCTTTTAGTTCTTTGAGAATTCTCCATACTTCTTTCCACAAAGGCTGTGCTAGTTTGCAGTCCCACCAACAGTGCATGAGTGTACCCCTCTCTCAGTGCCCACTCCAGGGAACTTTCTAGTAGATCTCACCTATCTTCATATGTCTCTTTTATCCTCCCATGCAGCGCAGGGCCACTGGATTGTATAATTCCATTTACTTCAGAGTCTGTGTGAATTGTTCTCCCTTCTTTTGCACGGTGCACAACTTGGCCATCAGGGAAGTGATGCCCTTTCATCTCTATTCCATAATGGCCTATCCTTTAGAGCAGAGGTCAGTGAACTTTCTATGAAAAATAAGATAGTCATTATTTCAGGTTTTGTGGACCATGCAGTCTTCGTCACAACTATTCAACTTTGCTGTTGTAGCACAAAAGTAGCCATTAATAATACATAAACAAATGGGCATGACGGTGTTCCAATAAAATTTTGTGTCCAAAACCAGCAATGAGACATGGTTTACTGGCTGCTTTTCTGCAACAAACCTTCAAAACCTTGGAACTATTGGTATTTAGACTGGATACTTCTGATTGTGGAAGTTAACTATCCTGTGAGTTGTAGGTTAGCAGCATTTTTGTCCTCTACCCACTAAATACTTGGGTCATTATGAAAGTTTTGAGATACACAAAACTCAAGAAACCTAAACAAATGAAACCCTCCCAGCAACACTGATAAGCTGAGTAAGTTGAAACTTGCCTGGGTGAATCAGAGAGGATGCTATTGTCTGTGTTTCTTGGAAGTGAAATAATGGAGCATAACATAGTCTGTCTCAAAACTTTCATAGTGACCCATGCACCAGTTGCGTCAACTCCTCTGCATCCTAGGTATGAGTCAAAAATGTCTCTAGGAATTGCCAAAGTTGTTTCTAGTTGAGAGCCACTGTTCTACAATAATAATTTTTCTATGAGTTATTATTCTGTCTCCATTTCTGTTGGTGAACATGGATTTGGACAAGTCCATTCAAGTTATAGTTTCTTAATTTTGTAATTTGTAAAATAAGATTCTAAAGTAAATATTATTTTTTATGACATTCTAGAGATAAAACTCAAATTTAAAAATCCTGTCTTCCTCTTTCCCTCCCTGCCTCCCTTCCTTTCTTTCTTCTTTTTTTCTGCCTTCCATCTGCTTAGAGAGAAAGAGTCTTTGAAGTCTCCATCATGATAATCACTCACCTTGCTGATGATAGTAGTAGTTATATGGAGACTGCCTCTTAGCCACATCTGTAAGTTTAGACTACCATTGACAATCAGCGTTCTCTGGATTTTGTTGATAAATAGAATCATTTCTGAAGTCATCAGTTGCAAATTGGTTTTTTGCTGTGGCTTGGTGGTGCAGGCCTGTGGAGTATGCACAGAAATATTTTAATATTACTGTGCTGCTGCAGTCATTCATCAATGCCACTTTCCCCTCCCCTCTTGCTTGCTCATTGATAGAATGTCAGCTGCCATGTGTGTGATGAGGAGGGACAAGGTGCATGCCACCACTTGACTTTACACAGCATGAGAGGGAGGACCAGTCCCCCCTCCACAGAGGTTGGAGGGGTGGTGTGGAGTGGAATGAGAACAAATAAATAAACCAAACTGGGAACGAAGCACAAAACAAACTGGTGACGTCTATGAAACCATTCATTGAAACCCTGTGATCCAAGGCAGGAAGATGAGAAGTTGGTGCATAAGCATGAGTTGTAGGGAAATAGAAGTACATCAGAATCAGGGCTTGATTCCGGGGTTTGACTAGAGCAAGGGCAGTGGTAGTCTAGCCAAATGGCCTTTCCCTTGTGAACCCAGCAGTATTTGCTGCTGGGGATATGATCCAGAAGCCAGACATTTTATTTCTGGTCACAGAACTGATCCAGGACTTTCCCCAGTGGCCTTCTCATTTGAAAATCTTACCTAATACTTGGGAATGGTCTCTTAGGAAGAATGATTAAAAGGATCTTTTATCTGTAAAGGATCTCGAGAGTAGGAAGTTTGGTGCTGTGCTGTGAATGAAAATCATCAAGGTCAACATAAGAATAGAGAAGCTCACAGTAGAAATAGACTAGATACTGACCATATTTTTCCTCCATGTACCCAGGGATTAGATTTGTCAAGCTCTCCCTTCTTTCCTCCCTTCCTTTCCTCTCTTCTTTCCTTTCTTTTTAATTTCTTATTTCTTTTAGGTATGTTCTTGGATATGATCTGTGTGTTCCCCGCTAAGTTCTTGGGGATGCTAATAGGCTACAGAAACAAATAGTTTTTATCTTCAAAGAGCTCACAGTCTAGTTTACTCAGGAATTTTTCCTGTTAGAGTTCAAATCACAATCTTTAAAGAGGTGGTGTGCTCAAGGCTGAGTTGAGTAAGTGTCCAATCAAAGGAGTAAGAGCCAGAAAGTATGTGGATTGAATGGGTACTCGAATCCTAGATGGCAAATGAGGACATGGGAGCAGGCCCATCTTAGATATGTGTAAATGGTATTTACAAGAAATACAGAGAGAAGTGAGAACTGGCCAAGGGCCGAGAGCTGCAGAACGTTGAAGCTGTTGTCTGTCACAGTTATTCAACTTTGCTGTCCTACTGAGAAAACAGCCACTGACAATACCTAAATGAATGGATGGGTGTGGCTCAGTTCCAACAATACTTTATTTACAAAAAAAGCAGTGAGTCATGGTAAGGCTAAGCAGCTCACATGTGGAATGACTTAGGTTGCAGCTCATGGGCCGCATGGCTCTCCTCACTCCAGGCATACCAGTTGAAGCACAGTCTTACTTGCTGGTGGGCGCACTCTTCCCAGTGGCCTGGCAGGTTGGGTTTCCATTGGTGGCACCCAGGGCCATGGCTGAGGATGCAGTGGGTGGGGAAGAGGCAAGTAGGAACCTGCAGATGAAACTGGAAAGGATCAGAGTGGTGGCTGTCGGTCTGGGCCTGGTGCAGATTAAACCTGAAAATACCATTCTGTGAAGCTCATGGGAATTACTTTTTTTTAAATCTGAAGTTTGGAGGAACAGTGTGAAAGATGGACAGAAGTTGAATTTTCCTTTCTTCCCTGGATCAGAAATATAAGCATTTATTTTCCACATTTATTGGATTTAGGCTGCCAGGACTGCCAAGTTCTTCCTTAACTAACAGAGTATACTTCTAAAACATACAATATATTTTTCTCCCCTGTTTTATTAGGGGAATTTAATCTAGGTTTGGGAAAGATAAAGACACTAGACTGGTTGATTCCTGGTATCTTTTCTCCGAGAGGCCTTATAATCCTTGGAAGACACTCAAGTATCTGGAGGAGAGTCACCATCACTATTAAATTATTACAAAATGATTGTCTATCTAGAAAAAATGAAGTATCTGGGTTTTTTCAACCTAGTGAAGAGAAGACTGGTAATGACTTGGTCAACTTTTAAATGTATAAAGGGATCCAACTCTTCCCCACATCCTGTAAGGGCTGATACAGTTTCTCTCCTAAAGACTTCTCAAATCGCATCTCTCCAATCTCCCTCTGATTCTGTGTGCTTCGGTCCCCAACTTTACATGAGCAAAGTGAAGGTTTTCCTTCTGTTAGCAATCATCCCTTTCTAGGTCTTTGCATAGTTGCCTCTTTTTGTCAGGAGGCTTTCTCAGATCCTGCAATCTAAACAGCATCCCTTTCCATGGACTCGGGTACCATCACTCTCTTTCATCATTTTTATGACATTTGTTACTGTTGGAAATCACCCCATTCATTTGTTTACTTTCTTATTTACTGCTTTCTTTCTCCTGAGAAGGCAAATTCCATGGCAACAGTGACTTCTGTCTGTTTCATTATTACTGCACCATCAGTGCCTGGAAGAGTACTTGTAGTAGGTGCTCTTTAAATATCTGTGACAAGCCTAAAGGACCTAATAAGCAGGAACAGTAATTACCATGATGCTGATGATAGTAGGTGATGAGAATTTCTTCTATACTGTACTTTATTATTTATATAGTTCATCTCATTTTATGCAAATTATTATTTGTTTCTGATAAGGCTGATAAATACTGACATCAGTGCTGGCAAAAGTTGTGCATGTTCCTTCTTTTTCCTTTAAAAATACAATTTGGCATATTGAATTCTTTATTTCAAAGCAAGGAAACCGTGTTGTAAGATTCTGAAGAAGCACATTTGTATCCCGTCTCAATGCTTCTCAGGTGGGACTTCCTGGTTGTCATCTGTTCTATGAATATTCCACTGTAGGATGATGACTTGGAAACAGATGTGGACAAGCTGATTTCCAAACCTGGTCTTGACCGACCTGAAGAGGAACTGAAGCAATATGAGAAAATGTGTCATGAGCTCTCCTGCAGCTTTGAGGTATGTCGTATGCTTTGGTTCTGCTCTTCGGAGGTGCTTGATGGGTTCTTAGGGAGGTCAAATAGAGATGTCCAGATGGAAAGCATTGCTCATCATTAGCGATCTTCTTCTGGGATCTTTCTGAGAGAAAAGCAAAAATGTCAACCAGGTAGCTGATGCATGCAATGCTTCTGCAATCTGATTTCATACCTAGGATAGAAATACAGTCCTATATTTCATAAAGATAGCTTGGCCAAAAAGGGGTCACGTATATGATAGTGCTTCACTTTGATTACCATACTTTTACTGTGCCTTTTCTACAGTTGTGTATATGGGGATATACAAGTCCCCATGAGTGTGTTGCATTTGCCTGCAGTATTCAGTAGAGTACCATGCTGTGCAGGTTTGTAGCCTGGGAGCAATGGGCTATGCTATACCATAGCGTAGGTGTATAGGAGGCTCCATCATCTAGATCTATGCGAGTGCACTCTATGATGTTTGCACAACAACAAAATTGCCTAGCGACACATTTTTCAGAATGTTTCTCCTTTGTTAAGTGATGCACGACCGCAGGAGATGCACATTACTACCTATTATCTGGTGGGCGAGGTGCCCTACCCTTATGCCCTGAGAAAGGAAATTAACATTCATGATAATTTAATTGTTCTCATGCCAAAGTAGGGAAATTGTCTGAGATGGGTTTTTGAAGGTGGCTATTCTGATTCAGAGCAGTTTTTGTTTTTGTTATTAGTAGAAACAGATTGGAAACCTTAGACTTAGTGGTGTTAATCCAGAGGCTAGCTGCTGCTGCTGCTGCTATTGCTGCCATCAATATTTCAGACCTGATTTTTGATCTCCATTATTCTCTTATGGCTCTTAATAAATCATGAATTTGGCTACATCTAAGGGTATAAGCTAAGTCACGTGTACAAAAGGGAGCTAATACATTCTACTTCAGTTCAGAAAGCAAAAGGGGCTCAATCCTAATAGTTTCAGGGAAGGAAGTTTCTGTTCAGTGTAAGTAAGACTTTTTCAAAGGAATCTGAATTATCCTCAAATGAAAGACATAACTTTGGGGTGCAGTGAGCCCCCCATAAATGAAGTTATTCAGCCTGATTATAATTTAGTGGAGGTGTTACAGAAGACAATCACGTACTGTTCAGGGTTGTTCTAGACCCACCAAAAGCCCCTTCCAAATGTGTATTGCTGTAATTCTGTCATTTATTTGACTCTTGAAGGTCAGTCTTTCTTCGCTGATCTTGGAAAAAGCTTCCTAATTCACAAGATTTATGCTTAGATCTGAGCCCAGAGGGGAAGGACAGGGATCAAACTATATTCTTTACCTGGAGGGAAACACTGACATACTGTTTTTCCACCTTAAACCTGAAGGAACCAGTGTCCAAATTTGGAGATAATTGGAACTTTGGAGAGATTCAGTGTGTCAATCACCAACACATTCCGATGGCTGCTGCCTCAAGGCAGCGTTGCTTCAATAAAGACCAAGAAAGAGAAGACACAGTCCAGGCTTCCCTTCTGCGTGTGGTGAAGATGGGGAGGTCTTCCATGCCCCTGGCCTCCAGAAAAGGACCCATAACAAACCCGTACTCAAATGTACAATCCAATAGTCTGGGGAGAGATTCTTCTGGAAGTAAAATCCCCAACAATCAGGCTTCCCTGAAAGAGCATGCCTGGGACATAGATGCCATGTTCTGCTCAAGGATAGGTGCCGCCTTCTCCAGTTCAGCTAGATCCAGAGAAACAGTGGAAGTAATGGATAAGCTCCTGGAGACACATCCCAAGCATATACCTTTCCATGACCCTTATCTTTATATGGACAAAGCCAAAGGAACCAGCTCTGTGGTGGACTTCAAGATGATGGCATTTCCTGACCTCTGGGGACACTGTCCACCTCCCTCTGCCCAGTCCATGTTGGAACGCAAATGTGGAGTCCAAAGGTGATGTTGCTTCTTACTTGAAAGCTATGTATTTTATTTGTTCTTTAATATTTTTATGGGTTCAATGGTTTGTACAGATAATTTTGTCATTGATACTAAAGTGAACATTATTCAGGAACATGTAAAGCCTGCTGGGAAACTTTTGTCAAACATGAAAACTTGCCCTCTACAAGGTCATTTCAAAATCAAGCGAGAGGTAGTGGTAGGCATGCCTGACAAAGAATTCCTTACCTGATTCTAATGCAACTCCTTATCTATATCCATTGCAAGCCACCACAACAGGGAGGATTATCTAGTTTTTGTAAATGCTAGAATTTTCCCTCCAAGGAAGGTTTTCAGAAAAATCCAGAACTGACTGAGATTTCTTTCCTTGTTTACTGCAAGTCTGTGTAGGATTTCTTGCTAACAAAGAAATGTTGCAGTTTCATTTCATATCCTCAAACTTACAGACCCTGACTTGGTTTGGAGAATAGTTTTGCTCCATCATTGAGGAGGAGATAGAAAAGGTACATTCTCTGGGACAAAATACTGAGTGATAAATTATACTAAGAATGCAGGAAAGGGAGCTTTGTCTTTGGCTCCACATAGTGAAATTAAAACAGAAACTGCTAAAGGTGAGGAAAAAATTATTTTCCTTGGGAAAAAAGTCATGGATATATCAAGCCAATGGAGCAGTGTGTAGACCAGAAGTTCCAGTAACTTACTTTCCATATAATCAATCAATTGTTCTCTTGGTGGTAGATCCCCAGAACTGCTTCCATTTGAGCTCCTGGCTGTTATCTCTGACTCTATCCTTATACATTTTCTGCCATGCTCAAGTTTTTGAGAAACACACAACAGGGGTCGGTCTAGGACCATTTTACTCTGCATAGAATGTCTTCTCTCTGAGTTTCAGCCTCACGTCTACCTCCCCCTCCACCTTCTTCCACCCCACCCCAATGAATTGGATATTCAAGAAGGTAATTTGAAAGACCTCCTAAACTTTCTTCTTTCTTCTTACTTAAATATCTCAGATATTGGTGTTTCACAGACAAAAGATAGACCTTGGCTTTCTGGAACAGACAGAGCCTTAAGAATATACATGACACGAGATTTACAAAGGCTTATTGGAGCCTTTCAAATCTTGAGAATGCTAACAGTTAATAGTCTTAAAGTCCCCCAGAACTGTCTCAGTGTAAAGGACCCTCTTATTCACATAACTGGAAAGGTTCCAAAGTTTTTTAGTCCAACTGAGCTTGATAAAACTTGTCTTCAAGCCAAGAATCCTCTAGCTGAAATCTTACATCACTGCTTCCTACACTTCTACTTCCCAGTGAAGTTTTATTTCTTGATAAAGAAGAAAGCAAAGGAGGACAGTGCTGTTTTTCACCCTTTGAGCTCAAGGTTGGGCTGTTATTGAACTTCTCTCAGTTTTTATACTTTTGGGATGATCCCCAAGGCCTTTCTCAGGTGACCATAAGATGAATGGGGTAGGGAGTGAAGGCTGACCCTTAAAATATTCTCAATTTTTCTTTTCAGGATTAAGATATTAGAGGATGTCCGGAGGCTTATCCAGCCAAGTGATGTTATAAATAAAGTTGTCTTCAGTTTAGATGAGCCTTGGTAGGTGGTCTTGTGCATTCTTGGAATGGGGTGCATGGAGAATTCTGTTAATGGAAAGAGAATAGGAATGTTTCAAGTTAGCAATCTGTTCCCATGCCCAAAAACAGCATGATGAAAATTCAGGTGAAAGATCTGTAAGAGAAAGCTTCTCTTTAAGAAATGAAAAAATGGTCATTGTTATTAATTGTTAAAGAAATGCAAATCAAAACCACCCTAAGACATCATCTAATCCCAGCAAGAATGACCCACATCACAAAATCTCAAAACTGCACATGTTGGCGTGGATGTGGAGAGAAGGGAACACTTTTACACTGTTGGTGGGGTGGGACTGAAAACTAATACAATCTTTTTGGAAGGAAGTGTGGAGAACCCTCAGAACTCATATTAGACCTCCTATTTGATCCTGCAATCCCATTATTGGACATGTACCCAGAAGAAAAAAAGTCCTTCTACCATAAGGACACTTGCACTAGACTGTTTAGCATAGCTCAATTTATAATTGTCAAAATGTGGAAACAGCCTAGCCTAAATGCCCACCAACTCAGGAATGGATTAACAAGCTATGGTATATGTATACCATGGAATACTATTCAGCCATTTAAAAAGATGGAGACTTTACATCTTTTGTTTTAACCTGGATGGAAGGGAAACACATTATCCTTAGTACAGCATCACAAGAATGGAGAGGCAAGAATCCTACATACGCAATTCTGATATGAGGACATTTAATGACCTAGTACATGGTGGGGGTGGGAGAAAGGGAGAGCAGAGAGAGAGGGAAGGAAGGAAGGGAGGTCATGGTGTGCAACATACCTTTTGCGGGTGGGACACAATTATCATAGGGACTTTACCTAACAAATGCAATCAATTTAAAAAAAAATAAAAATAAACAAAAAGGAAAGAAATGTCAAACAGTGTTCAAGAACAGCAATAATGTGTATGTTCATGAATCCTCTATTTCATTACAGGCCTTTGCAAGATACAGCTTCTAATTGCTTGAGGTTCTTCTCCAAATTTGAGTCAGGAAATCTTCGCAAAGCCATTCAAGTGCGAGAGTAAGTAAGGAAAGCCACGGGGCTATATCTCCTGGCAGCTCATGAGAGCAGGTTGTGACCATCTCTTTTCCATTCTCTGTTCAATCACTTCCCATTGGCTGGGAATCAACCATAGTAGGAGTATTTGTACCATTAAACTTGGCAAACACTACAGAGGAAGGTTTTTTCCCTCTCAGTGAGTCAGGTATTAAACACTTACCAGCATTCTTCTAGGAGACTCACTAGCTATCACAGCAGAATGAACTGTTCATTACAGGTGACCTGCTATGAATATGCCTTATGTTCCAAAAAGTAAGTCTGTATTTGGATGCAAGAGTACTTTGACCAGGATGTTTATACTTCAACTGATGTCAAATCTAGTTCTGTTGATGTGGAAAGGTACATGGGGCTATTTTTCCTGCACCTCTGCATGTCTGTTGCTCCCACATCTGGGTACTTGGGTGGCAAAAGTCATGGGCTCCCTAAGGACAGATGGGCATCTGTCATTCAAGGGAATGGTCCCCCTTGCAGAACCTACAAGTGAGCAGTTAATAGAAAAGGATTTCATAAGCAGGGAAAACCTAGAGCTGTACAAACTGAAAGAAAGGAAACAATAAAACTACAAATGACTTTTAACTCCTTTTTCAGTGGCAGAAAAGACTGGTGTTCTAACTACATTATAATTCTTTCTACTATGGCAGTACAGTACCATAGTACAGCTGTATTTCCCATATACCAAAATGCCAGATATCGAATCCATTTCCTACTGGTAGACTTGTGAAATACCAGTCCAGGGTAGTAATGGTATAATGGCTACAGAGGTTGGAATCAGACTGTCAGGGTAACTTCCCCTCTGTCTAACCAGGAGATTGAGAAAGTTTCTGAATTAACCCCATGCCTTTATTTCTTCACTCACAAAATGATCAGGAGGATTCAATGAGAGTTAAACAATACTTGTAAAGCTCTCAGAAGAGCACCAGTACCTGACAAGCACTAAATCATCATAAGTTCGTTCTTATGCATATTCACCGTGAGTAGAGCTCAGCACTCACTATAGTGCAAACCTGTTTTATACCTACTGAGAAGACATTTTCAAAGTTTTTCTTTTAGAGGGGAGCTGTAGGGCCATCCTTTTTTTTTTTATTTAGTACAATAAATATTTTAAGGAAGCCCAACATATAAAATACAGACAAGTTGAGCTACTTGGTCTGAAGAAGAGAAAGACAATTATGCCAAGATTTCTTTTAAGCTTTTCTTTCTTTCTGTGTCAGCTCAGCTTCTACTGCTTTCTCTAGATCTGCTTTCATTATTCCTTCTTTCCAGACATCATGTTTGAAGGATCCAAGAGAGAAGACCAGACTGAGAGTCTCCTAGTGAGGCAGTAATCACTCTAGGATGTGATTTGTCTTTGTCCAGAGTGTAGAACCCTAAACTAATCAGTTGTAGTCAGGGTTACAGAGTTAAGTGACAGTAACAAACCTACTTATAAGTAAGAAATGGTTATGATCACCTTTTTTGAGAGAGCGCTGTGGGACTAGCAGACAACTGAAGGTCACAGATTTTCAGAATGTTCTTATGAGTGCCACTTGGTGGGTTATGCATTGTACATTGTATAGTATGCTCGGTGGTTAGAGTGCAGGACTTAGAGTGACAGTACAATTGCTGTACTCTATCAGATAATTACTCTCATCTGTCTTATAGCAAGCTCTATCCTTTCTTAAATTTCACTACACATTACCATTTATGAGGGGCTCCAAGTGGGAGGGCATGAATGTGCATTTTACAGCATGTATGATAAGTTATATTTCAATGAAAATGAAACAACCCTGCACTGATAACCTAATTCACAATTTTTGGTTTGCTGAGAGATTTCCATTGATTTTTCTATTTAGTGTTTACAAATAGTACTCTAAGCTTAAATGTGATTTCCATTTCCAAATGAAGAAACTGAGGCTTAATAGTAATGTCTAGGATCAAATAGTAAGGGCAGAATCAAACCAGATGTGATTAAATTTCCTCTGAGATATAGCATACTTGTATTTTTCTATCTGGATAAAAAGGTCTATTATAGTTTAATAAAGATATGTGCTGCAGTTGTGTAACTGACTCTTTCAACACTAAGAAACTCTCTATTCCCATGAATTTCCAAAGCCAGTATCCAACATTGAGAGATGAGGATGACGATTATAATTTACCAGGCAGCTGACACTCTGTGTCTCAGATCCATAAACTAGAACCCCAAGATATGCAGATTCTCAGTGTTGGACGTTATCTTAAAGACTTGCCGGATGACTCTCCACTGTTGCTTGTGACTCTGCAGGTGTGAGTATGACTTGTTGCTCAACGCTGATGTGAACAGCACTCAGCACCAGCAGTGGTTCTACTTTGAGGTGAGCGGGATGCGTGCAGCCGTCCCTTACCGCTTCAACATCATCAACTGTGAGAAGCCCAACAGCCAGTTTAATTACGGTATGCGCTTTGAGGGAACAGGGGCTTTCTGGATTATCCTAGAAATGATATCACTTTTTGACTGATTATTGCCAGAGCCCTGCATGGGTGCCTAGAGGGTCTGAAGTTGGGCTCGTACACTTGGGTTGCCAGGTGTGGCAAGGCAGTGGGCCACCAGTGGCATCCTGTTACCATGGCGGGAAAGGTGGTGAGCCCTCCCAGGGACTCCCCCCAACCCATGCTATGGAATTCAATTAGCACATGTATCACACTACTTCCTGCTTCCTCTGCTCCACCTTGAACTTTTTGAGGTTGGTGAGCTCTTACATTTATTCCTTCTCTCCATCTCCTAAATCCCACAGGAGCAAATGTTCTGACATGCTTGTTATAGGATGGGAAAAGCAGAATCCAACTGGACCCACACAGATTCACACCCTCAGAAAACACTAGACAAAGTTTAAATTCTCTTGAATACCTGTGGCCATTTCAGAAGACACAGTTACGTGACAAAGACTGACTAGCAGTCAGTCTAAACAAATAACCCATATTTATTGAGAATGTTTCTAGGAATGGAAAATTCTAGGAATAGAAAATTTGGTATACCTCTTGCTAGATTATATACTAATTTACAGGGTGGATTCGCATAAGGAATAAATATTCCCAGGTGTCTGTGCCTAAGCGCAGGATACTGCCTTTACTTTGTAGTGACTAAACAGGTTCATGTTGGTGGATAAGGAAGAAATACAAACCCTGACTTGACTCTATTCACTTTGCACAGCTGCTATAACAAATTATCACGAGCCTGGTGTTCAGTTCACTGGGCTAAGGTTAGGGTATTGGCTGGAGCGTCTAGGGCAGAACACATTTCCTTTCTTTTTCCAGCATCTAATGTCATATTAGACATTCCCTACATTCTTTGGTAGATGGTCCCTTTCTCCATCTTCAAAGCATACAACGTGCTTTGACCCGCGCTGAACATCTTCAAATCTCTCTCTGCTTCATTTGCCTTGTGTTTCTTCTACAGTCAAACTTCCCTTTGCCCCTCTCTTAAAAGGACATTTGGAGTTGCATTTAGGACTTTCTAAGATAATATCCTTGTTTTAAGACCCTTAACTTAATCATATTTGCAAAGTCTCTTTGGCCACATATGGTTATGATTCATAGTCTCCAGGGATTTAGACCTGGCTATCTTTGGGGGCCATTAGTTGGCCCACCACAGCTCTCTTTCTGTTTTCTGTGCCCTTCATGATTAATTCCTGCTTCTATTTTGTGTAGGGATGCAGCCAACCCTGTATTCCGTGAAGGAGGCTCTTCTTGGCAGACCCACCTGGATACGGACAGGCCACGAAGTCTGTTACTATAAGTAAGTTAGAGTGATGATAGCTTCCTTTTTCTGCCCTGTCACTCCCTTTCAATTTCTTGCTTGTCCATATTGATTTGATAAACCTCAGAAATCTGAAGTTTTCTGCTATACTTGTCCCTCTGTCCTACTGGCCAATTCTTCACCCTTCAGAGGTATGAACGTGTTCACTGGCACCCACACTAGGCCCTCCAAATAAATATATTTTGATTTGCTGAAAGATGGTTTATCTTTATTCACACATTAAATCTTTTGGACTTTGTTGTTAGATGCTAGAAGTTGCAAACTCAGTCTGGGATTAGTACATCAAGTATTAGTTCTTTGTCTGTCGCCACTGGACCCAGTGAACAAAAAGTCTACAATATTCTGTCTGATTCCGATTCCCATCCACCCAGACTTCAGTTACCCAACACTCAGGAGAGTGAATATGTGACAAATATAGCTAAGTACATTTTCTCCTCAGGAGGATGATTTATTTCTTTTTGGAAAAAGATAAGAGGGAGCGGTTTTAAAATTCATCTTCAATCCTTGATCAGTAGCCACTTTGGTCAATTTCTTCTGCAAAGTTGTAATGAATAAAATTTAAATTATCTATATATTGCGATGAAAGAAATGGATTCCAGACCTAGCAATTACTTAAGTGTACATTTTCTTTAGATGAAAAATAAAATTTAAATTCGTAAGAAAAAAATAGGTAGGAATTTCTCAGAGTTGTAGAATATATGTATATAATTATTAGTTCATTTCTAGTTTCCTATAAAAACTGATAGGCTAGTACAAATTCTTGCTGTATTTGTTTATAAAGTAAGTCTGATTTCTTTCTGAGATTACAACAGACTTTTAAAAAACCTATTCCCAAACATTCTAGAGTTTAGGATAGTTATCACGATTAAAGAGAAAGAGGGTGTATACCATCTGTCTCTGGGCTTTTGAGACTATGAACATGGGTGTATTGATAGGTAGGAAAAACCGAGAATCTTATTGCTCTATCAAGTACAAAGGCCAAGAGAGATAATGAACATTTACAGAACACAGACCTGGGCTGACAGTCTGTAATAAAAGAGCTGGGAATCTTTACTCCTTGATGTATCAGGGTATGTGAACAGTATTTCCTGATAATCTTCAGAACAGTGATTTTCAGCCTGGTATGCCACAGCGCGCAGTGTGCTGTGAGAGGATCTTAAGTGTGCCACAAAAATTTTTAAAGATCATTAGTTAAATTATTTTCAAAAGCAGTTCAAAGCACAGCAAGCACATTCTTTTTTTTCTCTCTCTTTTTTATGATCATCACAAATTAAGTATGCTGTGGAAGTTTAACTATAGGTTCAAGTGTGCCGTGAGATAAAAAAGTTTGAAAAACGCTGCTTTAGAAGGATAGCAACATATTACAACTTTGTTAGTATTCTGTTCACCTAAATGGCAATCCCTTTCCGGTCCACCTCTCTCAAGCCTCTTAGGACCTTCGTCATGGCTCGAAGAGATTTAGATTATGAATCACCTCAAGGTAGCTTTCACAACTGCAGAAAAAAAAAAATGAAAACCTAAATTTGGATTTTAGTGTGTCAAAAATAACTTTTAGTTTCTTCTGGAAATAGCTACCCTCAATAAAGGGCAAAGTTTAAGCATAGAGCCAGCGTGGATTCGGAACTTAGTGAGAGATTGGACAAACATAATTATTTTGTGTCCTCTTCCAATGGGATACATATAACGCTCCCCAGAGGATGCTCCTCTTGGAATTGGGGAATCAAGAGAAGGCTCCTGCAGCTAAGTGTCCGCCAGAGGAGAAGGAAGAAGCAGCCACACTTCCAGACTTCCGAAGCACAGCCTTGGCCTAAGGAAAGCCAATGTTAATAGCTTGAGATTCATTAACAAGACAATTGTTATATGATTAAAGAGCAACTGAGGGGTGAGATGAAAACCATGACTGTATAATGTAATTCATTTTTCATATTCCAGCCATGAATGCAACAGAGATGAATGGATAAGATTGCTACATTGTAATGTAGTTTGTTTTATAATTATTCACCACATTATGTTAACATATTTCCAATAATGTGATCTAACAACAGGATAGATATGTGTAATCTCTATTCACCCACAAATCAGAACACCTCTCCCTATTGTAAAATGCTTTGGATAAAGACACAGTATCTTTCCCCTTGTTTACTCATCCCAGGCTTGGAGTTGCTCTGCTTTTTAAGATTTCTTTGCTTTATCCCTGCCTTTGTTCCCTCTAGTGTATTAATTTGGGAGAACTTTATCTTCCTATTTCTTTGTCTCCAGTATGTCAGTAGAAAAATCAGAAGTTCTTTTTCTATTATTCTGCTCAATTCCCAGATTTGGTGCCATCTTTTAAGGGGATGCTAAGTGTGCTCATTGTGGGGAGAACTGGGAGCCATGGTACCTGAATATATATGTAGAGAGAGGGGTGAAAGGAAAAAGATATTCAGAAGGAATGGGATTTGCATATCACAGTGAAGGAGGTGGGCTGACTGATCATCACGAGATGGAAAGTAGTCCCCAAACTATTTTGATAGTGCAGCATTAGTAGTAAGATATATTTATGCATGTACTTACTAGATCAGTTCATAAGTTATTTTTAAAAAATTATACATGCATGGGGCAGTGCCTGTGGCTCAGCGTGTAGGGCGCCAGCCCCATATACCGAGGGTGGCAGGTTTAAACCTGGCCCTGGCCAAACTGCAACAAAAAATAGCTGGGCATTGTGGCAGGCACCTGTAGTCTCAGCTACTCAGGAAGCTGAGGCAAGAGAATCGCCAAAGCCCGGGAGTTGGAGTTAGCTGTGACGCCATCACACTCTACTGAGGGTGATAAAGTGAGACTCTGTCTAAAAAAAAAAAAAAAAATTACACATGCATGGTTATGCTAATATATTATATATATTAGATAGAATGAAGAATTTTAAATGGTATAAAAAAGATGAAACAAATAGCAGTTTTAAATATCTACCTAGTTATTACATCTTTATATTATTGTATAGCTTAGTTCTCACTATAACTTTATGATTTAATAAAAAAAACACAACAACCTAAAGGCATGTGTATAATTATAATTGACATTATATTATAAGAAAGTATATGTTTTCCCAGAGAATAAAAAGAAATTGCTTGAAAAGAAAAAGAAAGTTGTAAATAGTCTTTTATGTAATTTTGAGAAATTTTGGTTAACTTTCTAGATCTAATCAGATTATTTTTACATAGTGAGAATTTTTATTTTACTTTATTAAATCATAACTGTGTACATTAAGGCAATCATGGGGTACAATGTGCTGGTTTTATATATAATTTGAAATATTTTCATTAAACTGGTTAACATAACCTTCATGGCATTTTCTTAGTTATTGTGTTAAGACATTTATATTCTACATTTAGTAAGTTCCACATGTACCCTTGTAAGATGCACCATAGGTGTGGTCCCATCAATCACCCTCCCTCTACCCATCCTCTCCTCTTCCCCTCCCCTCCATTTCCTCTTTCCCCATATTCTTGGGCTAGAATTGGGTTATAGCTTTCAATGAAAGCTATAAATTAGTTTCATAGTAGGGCTGCATAGTGAGAATTTTTGAGGAATATTTAGTATTAAAAGGAAGAGGTAGGGCATCCCTATTCAAATGATCAAATCATTTTTATCCTTTTGTTTGTAACTTATCATTAATTGATGGTTTGGAAGCTGCATGAAAACAATTGTTCTGTGAGGTTTAGTTTACTTAGATAACGTAACTAGTAAATCAACCAATGTAAGCTCTTGCAACTCAAACACCTTACCAGAAGCTAAAAGCAAAAGAAAGAGGAAGTGGGTTAACTATTCCCACTTCTCCCTCAGGAGACCTTCTATGCAGAAATTGATGCTTCTCTATCTGACACAGAAAAAGCGTAGATGTGAAATGTAACCTGTTTTTCCTTCTCCAGTCCTGGCACACAACAGAGGGCCAAATGGTTAAGATCACTGCACCGTAATCTAGACTGTTTTATAATCACTCATCACATTACATTGATGTGGACTGCACAGGGCAGCTGTGCCAATTCAATCGCATATCCAACATCAGACAGATGAATCTTCTTCTTACTACCTAGCTAATGCATTTCAAGAGAAATTCTCATCTTTTCTCCCTGTGGTCAGTTGATCATCCTGCCCCTGCCCCTGGATCACTCCTATGCCTTCCACCTCATCCTCCCTCTCCCCTCGGCCTGAAAGACCAGGAGGCAAGAAAATAAAAATGTCCCTTGAGAGGGAGGAACAGCAATGTTCAGATTCATTTTTCCACGCGTCTCATAAGAGAAAGCAAGGACCCTTTTAGTTTCTCCTTTGTGTAGCTCCCCGTGGTCTGCCTCTCCCTCTAATGTACACAGCCTCACACCTTTTGGAATTCTCTCTGAGCTCCCGTCTGCAGTAATTTTGGTGTTGAAGGGCAGAGGGAGGGAAGCTGCACGCTCAGAGTGGCCGTGTAATACACAACGGCTGATCTCTTCTGACATTTATCTCCGCTCGTGAGAGGAGATGGAACAGCTCACTCATGAAGATGAATGTCATACGAGAGCTCTGCCATCATGCATCCTTCCGAGGGATCTCAGGAGAGAGATTTGGTGTTATATAGAATATTAGAATTGCTGCAGACACGGGGAAGCCTGGCGACTTGGCTGCTCTGCCTTATTAAATCCTTTTAAGTGAAATGATGCACCCTTGTTAAACAGAGCCATCGTCATTATAAGATTATCTAATTCACTCTCGATCATGGCATTTGCTTATTTCATGCACCCACAGGAGGAAAAATGACTTCCCAGCATATTTTTAAGTACAAATGGAAATAGATTGAGTTCATAACTACGCATTTGTGTACTTTGCTCCTTGCTTCATTGAAGGTTTTATGATTATGAAAATAGAGATCCTTCTGAAGATAAATATTTCAGGGATGGAAAAGCAATGGGGAAGCTTTTTACCTGCAGAGTGGATAGATCTATGTAGCCTGGGTCATCTTGGATGCAAGATGAACAATCCAGGATCCAGCAAATTTTCAAGAGCACACTTGAGTTTTGCCAGGCTTCTGCTCCATCCAGAAGAGGAGACTGAGCAGAGAAACTTCTTTGAATTAAACTTCCACCACTCATTAATAGCTATGACCCGGGAAAGTGATCCTAACTTCTCTTAACTTCAGATTCCTTATCTGTAAAATGTGGATAATAATGGTGTCTATTTGACAGAACTGTTCTGAACGTTAAATGACATAAGATAAAATGCACAGAAAGTTTAGAACGGGGTTCAGTGCATTGTAGGTATTCAGTGAATGCTAGCAATTATTAATATTTCATAAAAATGACTGGGTGGGGTGGCTCACGCCTATAATCCTAGCACTCTGGGAGGCCGAGGCGGGTGGATTGCTTGAGCTCAGGAGTTTGAGACCATCCTGAGAAAGAGTGTGACCCCCATTTCTACTAAATAGGAAAAACAAGCCAGACATTGTGGTAGGTGCCTATAGTCCCAGATACTGGGGAGGCTGGGGGCAAAAGGATCTCTTGAGCTCAAGAATTTGAGATTGCTATGAGCTATGATGATGCCATGGCACTCTACCAGGGTGACAAAAAAATCATAATTGGTAAAAAAATCTTCTTAGTGGCATCAAAGACCATTCTTCATAAGCTATGAAGAATCTTAGTAGATGGATCACTTTTACTAGCTCTCCCCTGGGGTATTTTACACGCTTTCTGTTATTTCAGATTCTAAGTTCATAGGCATCCCTGATTTATGAACATCTGAACTTCAAATTCCCATTTCCTTACTTGGGACACAAGACCTCTTGTCCTTTTATCCATTCCTAAGATGCAGATAATATAATGAAAAATGTCTTAGCCTGGGGACTAGGCCCACACCTGGGGTTTAATCTTGTTTACTATTCTTGTGTGAAATTGCTCCAGACACTTAACATCTGTGCGTTTTAATTCCCCCAACTATAGAATATATGTGAAAAGTATTATTAGTACTTATCTTGAAAGGATACCATTGGGGTTAAAAATAAAATGTTAAAAATTCTAACTCTTACTTCTGGAGTCTGAGGTCCTGTTGTTCTACAGACTTTAACTGAATAGCTGCTATGTCCAGATGCTGTGACGAGTGTAAAGATACGTGAGTGAATATGCGTGATTCTTGCCAAGAAGTGTTGGCAGTGAGGATAAGGGGCCTGGGAAAGGGTGTATCAGGGAAGGCTTCCTGAGAGAAAGATTCACTTGCATTGAATCTTGAAGGATGGACAGAGATAACTAAGGAAGAAGGAAAAGGCTTTTCATACAATGGAAGAAGAACATGAGAACCATTTAAAATATGGAAGTTGAATGTTACTGCCTTGCAGACATCCCTCAATGTCATAATGAGGAAAGCAAAAATACCATTTTGAAGATATCTCACTCTATTATGGGCAACTTGAACTGTAGCAAGTCAAGGATTTCACTTTACAGATTTATCAAACATTTCACTTTGAAGAAGATGGTCTTAGGAAACTTTAAAGGCCTCTGAAGAGCAAGTTTTGCTGGAAGCAGAGTCGTGTCCTGGATGGCTCCTCTTACAATATGGCTGCCAGGAGACTCCGGTGGGGAACCCTGACACCTGCATGAGGTTCAGCCAGAGGTTAGAACCCAGACTAGGGTTGTAACCCAATCTCCTTTAGCTGAAATTCATTTTAAATAAAGCGACATTTGTTTTTTAAAATTCCAGCAGTCTTGCAAACATTCTGGAGAAGGTGGCTTGTCAGCATTTAGTATCGGTCAGGAGACGGTAAGATCACGGAACTACAGGGAGTAGCACATCAGGGGCGTGTGTGTGTCTGTGTGTGTTGGCGTGTGATGAGGCAGATTTCACAGAGTCAAAACTATCATTTGAATTCCTTACATTTCCCTTAAATTACTAAGAGCTGGACCTGTGGAAGCTCGGGAGCTAAGAATTGGCCCATTTTATCTCTCTCCCTTTCCCTGTAGCTGTTCTTTCCTTGAAGTCCAGGTTTGGTCTCAATGAAGGAGAGAGATCAATATGTGGATTTCACTTGCTCACTTTGTCTGTCTTGCTCTTTCCTGCGCCTGAGTGGGGTATGGCTGGGTTTGCACAGGGTGAATGCGCTTGTGCCGTGACGTCAGCATGCTTGGCCTGTTCATGCCTCCTGTTCCATTACTGGAACGGTAGTGTGGTGGGACTTATTTCTATCCTGCTGCTCAAGGTCATTGCTGAGGTCTGGCTTTTCGCACACACCTGCCTCCTGAGGGTCCATGTTATCAAGTGGGGCACAGAGTTAATCACTGCTGCAGAGACTGGCGTGCTGGGAGCTTGTCAAAAAGTCATGCAAAATATTCAAAAACTTTGACCTCTGGCATAAATGGGTTAATAATCCAGTAGCAAACCTAAAAAGAAGCAAGGCCCATGCAGTTGAGAACCCCACCCTGCCTTTGGTCCGGGGGGCATCTAGTGATTTCCGCTCGTATCTACATACGTGAATATGTGGTGTGCATGTGTGTGCATTCCCACGTGTCTGCCCACAGGTCAAGCTCTCGGCCACATTTGGGTTGGCTACCCCTGGCTCATTTCATTTCAATTGGCTCTTCCATCATAAGGAGGTGTAACGGACTAGCACCTGTTGTTCACCCAGGTGTTAACTGAATTTGTGTTTGCAGGGAGACTTTACAAGTGAAATCGGAAAGCAAATAAAGGGAAGAGCATATGTGACTGGCATGCTTGAGACACCACCTGCTTCCTTCCTTCCTTTCTAGTAACCAGAGTCGTAGCTTTCGGAGAAACTTCAGAACTTTGGGGAAATCTGCAAAGAGGAGACCCTTTTAGGCCTCAAGATCTAGATCACACCATGAAGGAAGACACCCTTTGGGAATTTTTATTTCTGTAGGTGCAAAGTAAATGGGTTCTGTTGGTGCATGGCTGAAAGCCGGATGGGACAGTCACTCAGGCTTACGATGGCGTGAGGCACCTTCCTTTTCCTGCCTGATCAGGGCTCCAGGAGCTTCTCTTACTTCCGTCTCTAGTTTTATCAATACAGAAAACCCCTAAGACCACAAGAAATGAGATAGTAGACTTTCTCGTTCTTCCTTTTGTACATACTTGCTTCCTGGCTCAGGTGTGGGGTGGTTAGCAAAGAGTCAGAAAAGGATAACCAATATTTTTGTGTATTTTGCAAGAATACAAGAGAATAATTACCTATGGTTTCTTGTTTTCTCCTCTCCTCTCCCCCAATAAAACCCAAAGCACCCTGGACAAGTAAGCTAACATTGTCAATGTTCAAAGGTGGAATTACATCTTTTGGTGTCTGGGTGTACTTTGCATTATAATGCAGCCTTGATGATAACATTTCTCAGGAAATCTGCACAGCTATCTGCATCAAATGGTAGCATGTGGGGAAAATATTGTTCGGAATGTACTTCTGGGTGCAATTTACTTTGATACTGTTCTCTAAAGTATCAAAATTGATTCTAGTACAAAGGAAGATGTGTACTCTCAAGTTTTAAGAAGCTGAACCATATTTGGGGTGACAAATATATTCTTCCAGGAAGAAAGTATTGTACAGTCGAAAGAACAAAAGCTTTGCAGCCAGAGAGATCTGGGTTCGAATCCTGCTCCAATCACTTCCTGACCTTGAGAATTGAAGCGAATTAATTCTTCTAAGCTTCTGTTCCTTCATTCACACAATGGGATGCTGCAGCAATAACATGAGATGACGTATATAGTAGTGATTGCTAATAAATCCATTTGACAGGTGGAGGGGAAAGGAAGGAGCTGCATCTTCTGTGGTCTTGGGGAGAGAAAGGATCAAAGGAATCCACATTAGTGTGATGAAAGTGTATGTCTGAAGTGGGGTTCTGGGAAGAACAGAATTGCTCACATTCCCTCTATTTTCTAGTTCAATGCTACAGAGCCTTCATGTTCAGATGTAGCATGTAGGCCACAATTGAGAGGGGCATGGGCCAGGCTACGTCCTTCTACTGAACTGACTCACGACCTGACAGCAACTCCGTTTGTCTCTATTTTCTAAATAATGCTCTACCCACAAAAGCATTCCCAGTGAAGGCCACTTTGCCTTGTATATAACACACAAGGTTTATAGATACTAGGACTCAGAGTGACAACCTCTTCCCCCAGCTCTGCCTCTCTCTCATTCACTTTTCTTCTCCTTTTTCTAGAAATCATTACTACCAGAGTGCAGCTGCCACAGGAGGAACATCTGGGAAGTGTTATTATAGCCTCACCTTTGCTGTCACCTTCCCGCATAATGAGGACGTCTGCTACCTGGCCTACCACTATCCCTACACCTACACAGCCCTCATGGTAACTTCCTCTTTGTGGCATCACTCCCGCAGGCCTGAGGGCTTGCTGAGGTTTTTCTTTGTCATTGCTGTTGTTTCTTTGTTGAGAACATCCCGGAGGTGGTGACATCTTGGGTGTTTGGGGTGAAATGCTGCCTTCCTGAGGTTTTGTTGTCATGGACTTACAGGCTTTATATATGTCCCGTCTCCTTCCCTGAACAGAGAACGAGGCTGAGTCATGGCTGCTGACATTCTGAAGCCCCAAGTGGCCTGCAGGTTGAGTGTGGGAAGTGGGGACATTTCTTAAGGCTTCTATCTTTTAAAACAAAGTCTTCAGAGTCTAAGCACAGTGGCTCACGCCTGTAATCCTAGCACTCTGAAAGACCCAGAAGGGTGGATTGCTTGAGCTCAGGAGTTTGAGACCAGACTGAACAAGAGAGGGTCCACTAAAGATAGCTAGGCTTTGTGGTGGGCACCTGTAGTCCCAGCTACACAGAGGCTGAGGCAAGAGAATCAGGATGGCTGGAGCCCAGGATTCTGTGGTTGGTGTGAGCTATGATGACACCACTACACTCTAACCAGGGTGACAGAGCAAGACCCTGTCTCAAACAATAAATAAAATAAATAGTCTTCAAGTCAAGCATGAAGTAGTCAGATTTGAGTTGAATTGGAGAGACAAGTGAGCTGGGATGCAAGTCTGAGGAACCTTAGCTCCATGAGGGGAATGGAGCAGAAGGCAGGGAGGTCGAGCTTGGAGGATTCCTGTGTCTGTGAACAAGCAGCTGCTTCAGCATCTGTTGCGGTTCCCATTACTGTGGGCTGGAGGCTGCTAGAAGGATCTAGGGTCCACAAGAAGCTCGGGACAACAGAACACTGGGTTGCTGCAAAGGAGGGCCACAATCATTTATTTCATGATGGGAGGTAGCAGAAGCTGGGCTGGACTCAACCGCTAGCGTCCCTGTGTTCCATAAGGCCCTGCTCAAGGTTCATGAGACAATTTTCGGCAAATTGACTGCTTCAACCATGCAGTTTTCTTTCATTTGCAAAAGTGGGCAAACTACCCCTTACCCTTAGCTATTTCATGGATATCCTGAGGATTAATGAGCTGCAATATCTTCTATAAGGCACTCTCATCCTCTGTGTTAATGTAAAATGTTATTAGCATATTTATAATAATCTGTGTGTATGTGAGCATATATATCACTTAGCCTGAAGGTTGAGCATTTTCATTTTAAGGCTGTGATGAAGAATTGGAAAAGATAATAACCAAGAACATCTTTCCTTTAAAAGGAGCGTTCAGGTATAAATGAACATTTTTATTTTTCTCGCCGAGGAGGCATATCTTAAACTTGGCTCTCCGCGTCGTGAGAGAGCATCTGCCCCTCTCCCCATATGTTGTCTTGCCTAAGGAGAGATTTTTACTATTTCCCAGATTGCAAAAGATGCACAACTAGTATTATTTGTGTATCACACTTAGAGAGCTCAGGAAGTTAATCCAAGAAATGTGCCTCACAAGCTATGTTGTAACAAGCCGTGTTTGTTATGAAACGTGTTTTGTTGCCTTCAGGGACACAGAACAGGCAAGATTCATGATCCCTTTCAACAGCTGTTTCTACAGTCTTCCCTGTGAGATGCTGGGAGGGAAAGTCTACTGGGGAAGTGGATTCTTTTTGGAGTATGTGTTTGCCTTTTCCTATGGGGAATAAAGGAACTGCATGTGGGTCTAAGACACTGTTCTTGTCAGGTGTCAGAGTATCTCCAACCCTGATCAGGTTCTTGGTGGTAATTAGTATAAAACGTTGGAACTCAAAGGGGCGAGCAAGCTGTCTAGTTCTCCCTTATCATTTACAGATGCAAAATCTAAAGCCTAGAAGTGCCATAGCTCACTAGAAGCCAAGCAGAGAAGAAAACACTGGCCTTGGATGTCTATTCTGGTGACCTTTCTATTTCACTTGAGCAAAAGTGTAGAAAAAATTCAGAAGAATTTCTGCTGTGGGGGCAGATCAGTGTCCTCACTTGTACAACAATAGCTATGGAAAAAATGCAGTTTGGTTTTACAGGTACACGCAGTCATCTTTGTGTGATGACACAGACATCTCCAAGGGTTGAGTTCAAGTCACCAACCCATGATTTATGTCTCTAATGCTGGGTGCTATGGACGTGGTTCAGCTGAAGGAGAACGTTTCTCACCAAACATGGTCCAATTCTTATCCTAAGATGCTCTGATGGATTCTTACTAGGTATCTACAAGCTGATTTACAGTCTGCACCCTTTTCAAGCAGGCTTGACTGCACCTGGGTGCTCACCTTGTTTCCTGGGCCCGTTTACCTTCTGGAGACTGTGTCAGACCAGACCAGAGGGTTAAAAAGTCTACAATTGAAATATAACTTAGAAGCTATTGGGGTTGATGGGAAGAGAATTTCATTTTGAAGGGAGGCAAAAATACAAACAAGAGAACCCCTGGTCACTTAGTCTCATTGAAAGGGAGAGCAAGGCCTTGTTAACTGATGTTCATGGGCTTATGACTATTAACAGCATGATTTGCTGTTACTAACAATTAGTCTTTTTTTTTTTTTTTACTATTACTATTAATAAAAACTTAGTGTTTGTCAGACTATTGACTATGATCACTTCCACCAGGGAAGTTTGGGGAAAGTTAACCAGAAAGAAGAATAAAAAATAGCTTCTTATTTTTCCTAAATGAGCAGAACAGGGTTAGAAAGATAATATGGCATTTGAAAGTGAAAAAATGTACATTCCCACATTTAGGTTTTACACTACCAATAACTCATGGTCTTTGTCCTCTCTGTTTAAGACAATAATTGACTCTGTGACTTCTCTTAAAAATCCCTCCTTCCATCGTGGATGGAATGAGCACATTCTATAATGCACACTAGTCATTTTTATTTTTGGACATGTCCTAAGGAGAGACACTTCTTCTTCCAACAGATCAGTGATAAATTAAATGTGAGTAATACCCCAAGGGCAGAATTAACTCTATGTGATTTGGGGGTTAGGCTGAGGGTTGGAAAACACATTTCCATGTGGAATTCATAATTTGAAAGTCTATGATTCTATGGATTATGTTTAATAATCACAGACATTTTTATAGCAAAGGACTTGTGTGTTGGATGTTTTTCAACATGAATACAATTTTGAAACTTTAAAAAATTTTATTATTCTCTTATAATAAGAGAATTAATGTTTGGTTCTTTGAAAGTGATATCTTCCAGATGCTTGCCAGCAATAGTGTCGGATAATTGTTCAAATGATAGCATTAAAATCAAGCTAAAAGAAATAAACACACTATTGTTGCCATTCTGAAGCAAACAAATGAGTTATATTTTAATCAGCAATATCAAGATACCAGTAATCGCAATGACTGCTAACTTGTTTGTAATACTTTTTGTTTTCTTTGCAGTTTTTGGCTGGGGCTGGGTTTGAACCTACCACCTCCGGTACAAGAGGCCGGTGCCCTACTCCTTTGAGCCACAGGCACTGCCCTGTTTGTAATACTTTGTTATAGTATTATAATTTTGTTACAGATTGTCCCTAGGTAGCCAATGGTATAGGTTGAAAATGGAGCCCCCAAAGAGTTTCTGATGGATATTTTAGGAGCTCAAGGAATGGTATCTCACTGAGAACTGAGAACTGCATGAGTTGACAAGAGACAAGAAAAGTGGTCATAAGTAGGATCCAGATATTTGGATAGCTTAAGGCTCTTAAAGGGTAGAGTAGAAATTTTCACCAAACACATATACCCGCCATGAAAGATGCTAACATTATTATGCTCAAGAATGGGAAATGGGGTGTAGCATGGGGACAAGAAAAGGCGGGGGTTGGGGGAGAGAGAATTAGAGTGCTATATGCACAATATTCTATAAAGGGCCTGGAATAAGTGAAGAATTTGTTTTTTATTTTTTAATTTTTTTCTAACTTTTTTAATAAACAAAGTTGTCCAGGTTTATTATTTTTTATTTTATTTTTTTGGAGATAGAGTCTCTATTGCCCAGGCTAGAGTGCTGTGGCATCGTCGTAACTTACAGCAACTTCAAACTCTAAGGCTCAAGTAATCCTCCTGTATCTGCATCCAAGAAGTTGGGATTACAGGTGCTCACTATGATACTTGGTTAGTCTTTTTATTTTTTATTTTTATTAGAGATGGGGTCTCCCTCTTGCTCAGGCTGGTCTCAAACTCCTAAACTCAAGGGATCCACCTGCGCAGCCTCCCAGAATGCTGGGATTACAGGCTTGAGCCATAAATGAAGAATTTAAAAAGTGTCAAGTGGGAAATGACCTACATGTAGAAATTGAAGATGCAATGAACAAGTCATAAATCAGTGCTGTCAGGCAACAATAGATAGGGACCTCACCTTGTATGGCAGGCAAAGGAAAGGGTCTTGGTGTTGAGGAGGTGAACGTGAAGGGCTGTTCTGAAAGAAACAGAATATGTGTGAATGGTGAATTCTTTGACCAAAAAGAACCCAAATTTCAAAGTCTTGAGCACAATGGAAGAACTAGCTTTTGAGGTCAGACAGGTCTGGATTTGAGGCCAAGAGCTGAGTTTCCTTGCTGAGTAGCCATGGGAAAACTAGTTAACTTCTCTCAGCCTCAGGTTTCTCATCTATAGTCGTTCCTACTCAGACTATTGTGAAGATTGAATGATTGCTACATGGAAAGTATCAGCAAAGTGTCTATCCAGTAAGCAATAGCAGATGGTAACCATTAGGGCTCTTATTATTTTCTTGTGATGATGGGTAATTATTTTCTCTGTTGGACTGATTGGAAGGTACCCATTTAATTCATAATTTGTACTAAGATTAAAATTAAGTGAAAAACTTAAAATACAGAGCTCCCCACTCTCTGAAAGAAAACTACCCTAAAACAAAGGCTGCTAGAAATGCTTTTCTTAGGATGACTGATTATGATTATTTTTTTCTTTACTCTTATTTCCGAATCATCAGTGATACAACTTTGTTTGTTTTTAATGGAAAAGAATATTAAAATCATCTTTTCTTTATA